GGTGTGTGCGTCCTTTACACCATAATCGAATGCGTATTTGGGATAATGATGTGGTTCATGCTGTTCGTAGTGATAATCGTGCTGATCGTAACCATGCCCGTGGCCAGAAAAGGGTGCAAAATTGGCGTGGCTGCCATGTTCGTGAGTGTCATGTACTACTGAGGCATAACTGGTAGCATGACCGTATGGAGCATACCCGGCGCATGCAACTCTGAAGAGGACTACAGCGATGACGATGAGACACGAAAGGTTCTGCATTTTAGTTGAGATTAAAGTATTTACTTGTTCTTTTTGCTCCACTGACTAGTGAGACTGTGCTGGAGGTCAATGTTAAACTGATACCAATCAGCTGTCTACAGTTTATATTTATACTCTATTCCTTATACATATGATTGATCTTTACAGTTATTACGTTCTACAAGAGCAGTTGAATTTATTCCATAGCAAAACACTAAAACCTTTTCAAATTGTAGCATTAACTTTACATTCAAATTCTTGTCAAAAGTTTTAACGCAGTAAATGCCAATAAACTAAAATGAAAGCTCAGTTTGAACGGAATTTGTTCATACTTGCTACTAAATAAAATTTATACAGACACACGCCCAGCCCAGTTTTTGACAGCAAATACCAACAAATTGTTTATTGTATCAAATACTTGCTTTGCGCTATGATCATACTAAACACATGTGTATGTATGTATGTACATATGTATGCACGTGCTACAACCAGCATATGCATATTATTGCACTTTAATTAAGCGATCAACGCCATGTACGTTCACACATGTTATTGTTATTGTTTTTGTTTTTGCTTTTATAATATTTCGATTCTTCAAGTTGCTTGGGCCCACCACTGTGCAATGACTTTGTTAATTATGTTCATATATACATACAGTGGTCCACAAAATAATAGGAGTGCGATATTTTGGTAAGTTTTTGCTATTTGTCTTTTGTTTATTTAATGTTTATTATTTTTATACAAAAGTCAAGCTGGGTATACAACAAACAACGTATAAATTCATACTTCATTCTATGTACAAAAATTATTAAAATTCTGTAAATTTTCACCAAAATATCAAACTTTTTAATCAGAATCTTCAGAGAAAATTCTGGTATGCAGTTTTATAGCCCATTCAATTCTAGTCTGAAGAAGTGCAAGTTTCAAGCTGCTAAAAAATTCCGTTGATTTTTGGCAATTTTTTTTGCTGGCACTGTCCCCATATAAAAGAAAATTGTCGAACATACTTTGTATGGAAAAAACGTGAAACACCTTCAACCGAAAAAATTCTCAAAAATCAACGGAATTTTTTAGCAGCTTGAAACTTGCACTTCTTCAGACTAGAATTGAATGGGCTACAAAACCGCATACCAACATATTTTCTAAAGATTCTGGTTAAATAGTTTGAAATT